TATAGTCCTCTTTAGCTGTCCTTTTCTCATTTTCTCATTTTAAATTTGGATAACAGGCACACTTTGGTGTTAAAACACTGTGATTGTAGCAAAGCTGAGCATATTCCTTGGCCCCATCTGTGGTGCTATATAGATGGTTTGAAACTGCATTATATGAACAGTGTAGACTCATATAATATTTATTTATTTATTTATTTATTTATTTATTTATTTACTTCATTTGTTGACCGCCGCTCTCAGCCCTGGGGCGACTCGCGGCGGTGCACAACATATAAAAACAGTCTACAAAAGCATACAATAAATCGACAACCAAATTACACATTAATCTAAATTACAATAATAAATCCGCGCCATCATAACATATCGACATAGCCAATCTCATAATCCAAGGTCCGTTCCAGATGTCATTACCATATTCGTGTAGGTCTCAATTAAATGCCTTCCCGAATAGCCACGTCTTTAGGCTCCTACGGAAAGCCATAAGGGAGGGCGCCTGTCTGATGTCAGCAGGGAGGGCGTTCCACAGCCGGGGGGCCACCACTGAGAAGGCCCTCTCTCTCGTCCCCGCCAGACGTGCCTGTGAGGCAGGCGGGATCGAGAGAAGGGCCTCCCCAGACGATCTCAAGGCCCTCGTGGGCTCATAGGCCGAGGTGCGGTCCGAAAGGTATTTTGGGCCGGAACCGTTTAGGGCTTTGTAGGATAACACCAGCACCTTAAATTGGGCCCGGTAGCAGATCGGCAGCCAGTGGAGCTGGGACAACAAGGGCGTTGTGTGCTCCCTGCGTCCCGCTCCCGTTAGTAACATGGCTGCCGCGCGCTGGACTAGCTGAAGCTTCCGGGCCGTCTTCAAGGGCAGCCCCACGTAGAGAGCGTTGCAGTAGTCAAGGCGGGATGTGACCAGAGCATGTACCACCGTGGCCAAGTCAGACTTCCCAAGATACGGGCGCAGCTGGCGCACGAGCCGAAGCTGTGCAAATGCTCCCCTGGTCACCCCTGACACCTGGGGATCCAGGCTCAAAGATGAATCCAGGGTCACACCCAAGCTGCGAACCTGCGCCTTCAAGGGGAGTGCGACCCCTTCCAGCACAGGCTGTAACCCTATACCCTGTTCGGCCTTGCGACTGACCAGGAGTACCTCTGTCTTGTCTGGATTTAATTTCAGTTTGTTCGCCCTCATCCAGACCATTACAGCGGCCAGGCACCGGTTCAGGACCTCGACAGCCCCCTTAGTAGCAGGTGGAAAGGAGTGACAGAGTTGGACATCATCTGCGTACAGATGACACCGCACCCCGAAACTCCGGATGATCTCACCCAGCGGCTTCATGTAGATATTAAACAGCATGGGGGACAGAATAGAACCCTGTGGAACCCCACAGGTCAAAGGCTGTGGTGTTGAACAGCAGTCCCCCAATAACACCTTCTGGGTACGACCCTCCAGAAATGACTGGAGCCACTGCAGAGCAGTGCCCCCAAGACCCATTTCCGCAAGGCGCCCCAGAAGGATACCGTGGTCGACGGTATCGAAGGCCGCTGAGAGGTCCAGGAGCACCAACAGGGACACACTCCCCCTGTCTAGCTCCCGGCGCAGATCATCCACTAAGGCGACCAAGACCGTCTCGGTACCATGTCCCGGTCTGAAACCAGACTGTGCCGGATCCAGAATATCCGTGTCTCTCAAGAATACCTGGAGTTGTGAGGCCACCACGCTTTCCATGACTTTGCTCAAAAAGGGGAGATTGGAAACAGGCCGAAAGTTGTCGAATTTAGTGGGGTCCAATGATGGTTTCTTCAACAGCGGTTTTATAATTGCTTGTTTTAAGCACGCTGGAATCTTGCCTTCTCAAAGGGACGCATTAACCACCACCTTTACCCACTCGGCCAATCCCCCTCTGGCCTCCTTTAGAAGCCAGGATGGGCAGGGGTCTAGGATGCATGTGGTCGTTCTCATTCCTCCAAGTATCTTGTCCACATCCTCGGGTTTCACCAATTAAAATGAATCCATCAATAGGACAAGCAGGTGCTCGTGTCACATCCACAGAGACTGCATTTAACATGGTGTCCAGCTCAGAACGGATCAAAGCGACTTTGTCTGCAAAGAACCGAGCAAATGCTTCACAGCGCGTGACCGAATTGTCAGGGCTCCCGCCTGAAGTGGCGGGAGTTAAAAGACCTCTGACAATCCGAAACAACTCCGCCGGACGGTTCTTTGCGGACGCAATAGAGGCTGCAAAGAAAATTTTCTTTGCGGCTTTTATTGCCGCGGCGTATGCCCTTAAAAAGGACACAAACCGTGTTCGATTTGACTCGCTTGGGTCTGAACGCCACACGCTCTCCAGTACCCTCTTCCTTCTCTTCATCACTGCCAACTCCTCATAATACAGTTTTACTGCATTGAACTGCATTGTATGAATGTACACAGACCATATAATGCACTTTCAAACTGCATTATATGGCAGTGTAGATGAGGCAACTTTGGTACAGAAGTCAGCTGTGATATCTATCTACTTGCAAGTTGTGGTAGTATATATTTATAGATTTCCCAGAAAATGGGGAGCAATATTTCTGAATGCAAACTTATTTTTCTTTAAGTAATTTGAAATTTTTTGGACACTTCCTGTGAGTTAGTCTTAAAGGAACCAATTTATAAAAGTATATATACTGGTCAAATTTTGTTGGTAGGCTTCATTGCTTCCTGGTATAGAAGACCGACACCACAAGCTCTGCATAAGGACTTGTTGCACTTGCCATGCATTACAAGATGTCAGTCTTGGAATTGGTGTTTCTTACTTGGTCTGCTCTTACATACTTAAGGCAAGAAGAACAGTTGTGACTAGAAAGAGAGAAATCCTCTTTTCCTATGCCTTGACCATCTTAATCAACTTATTTTGTGGGTACAGTATAAACTCTGTGTTCATAGGGAATATTTTCTAAGACTCCCCGATATAATCTGTAGGGGAATATTATTTGGAGCTTGGGTAAGTGAAACCTATAGAAATATAGAATCCTAGGATAGGGGGATTGTATTGTACTTCTTTAGCAGGACAGCTCCATTTCCTCCCCTCTTCCCTTCATGAAAACTGGTTTTATCAGCTCAGTAAAATGCTCATCCAGCTTATTGTGGCAATGAAAGAGGAGGAAAGTTCTTTTGGATCTTATTCCCCATACTCTTTTTAGTGTTTCCCTCTCTGCATTTACTCTCTGTAGAGGCCAGCAATGTAAGGCATTGGCAAGAAGGTTGCTCTTGGCACTAGTTAAGCCATGGAAGCCAGGGCGGGATCTGCATACCACAGTGATAACAGCAAAGAGTTTTGTGGCACTTTAAAGGCTAACAGATTTATTGTGGCTGAAATACTTGTGATCTAGAGCCCACTTCATAAGAGCGTTCTCTTCAATTCATAGAATGGACAACCACTGAGAGAAAATGCATCTATATATAGTAGGTCCAAAAAGCCATGAGCGCAACAAATCCAGTCAGGCTGTGACATTTCCATATAAAGTGCATAAAGTTGAAGTTAAAATACTGTTCTCTGCTGTCATCAATCAGTCTCTACTATATAGTTTTTAAAACACACGATTCCTGCTTTTAAAAAAAAAACACCAGCAGATGCTGCCTTTGTGACCATATTAATTCGGGCATCACACTTTTGAGTCCTAGTCTGAATACAGGGTGCAACTATGGTGTAGTATTTTGAGTGTTAAACAATGCAGAATTAATGCAGTATGAAACTACTTTATGCCATGACTCAATACTTTAGAATCATGGAATTTTTAGTTTGGTGAGGGACCAGCACTCTGTCAGAGAAGGCTAAAGACCCTATAAAACTGCAACACATAGGATTCCCTACCAATGAGGAACACTTCCCAAGTGTTGTCAAATTGTGTTAATTCTACAGTGTAGATGCACCCTAAGATTCTGGAGACAAAAGTTTGAATCTCTACTCAACTATGGAAACCCACTTATTATTTTGAATAATTGTCACCTCTCTCTCTCTGTTCGTATTACTGATTGGAAGTTTTAATCATTGACAGCTGGATTTTCATAACTTAGGCATATCTCAGTTTAAAAAGCCTCGGATAAAGAAGCTCCTTTTTGCAAAGATTTTTATTCTTCTCACTCCCACCCCCTGTTCCTATTTTGCATTGGCTGTCTAGTTTTTTTAGCAGGTTAAGTATTGGAAGCATGGTGAAGGGGGTCTGGAGTAACATAGGTTTTCAGTGCCATATTATAGCAGCATGTCTGCAGTAAACAATGCAGTGAAGCTTAAGGTGGAAAGAAGTGGTATTTAATTCTCACCAGTCCTACTGTAGTTGTGTGTGCCTATCCAAAAGAGGAAAGATAAACAGCTGCTCCCTCCAGAATCCCTTACTGAGCATGCATGAAATGCAAAAGGGAGAGAACAGATAAAGCATACTTTACTAGCTCCACATAGGATTTTTAAAAACAAACAAACAAACAAACAAACAACATAGATCTGTAAGTTTGGCCACCAAAGTGGAAATTGTAAGAAAGGTAGATTCATTTTGAAAGAAATTTTCACATGGTCTTTAGAAAGTTGAAAATGTTTTTGCTTACTTGTGTAAAGTTTACCTGAAATTGTTGTTTCATTTCACATGTGCAAAATTTTAGTTTTGAAGAAAACCTTTGCTGAAACTTATCAAACTGATCTTCTTTTTGTGGTGAAGGAACCTATCCTAGTTCTTTCTATGTTATTTCTGCCTCTGGTTCCAAAGATTCTGTTAGAGAAGCAGTGCCCAGAAACTTCGTTAGCTGAGGTATACTTGTATCTACACACGGATTTTCTCCCATTTATCTTGTCCTCCTTAAGCTGTGCTCAAAAACAGCATTTTCTTGCATCATTAGACCATATCAAATACATGTATAAGACTGAATCTGACACTTCCCATATATTTCTATAATGCAGTTGCCTTAATTCTTTTAACACAAAAAGTGGCAAGGAAAGGAAAGTAATGAGACAGATAGAAGAAAAAAATATACTGACTCTAACTGTGGGAAAAGCTGCATCTTCTACTTGAGGCTAATAGTTGTATTTCTCCCCCTCCTCCGGTGCTCTGTGGTTGACCTGTGGGTGCTGTGGTTTGTGGGTTTGTGTTCAACTCTAGTATTCTTTGTTGCTTGTTTCTCTCTCCTTTGCCAAGTGACGGGCTGCCAGCCTCAGAGTAGCTGCTTTGGTCAATGACAGAATGCAGGGGGTGGGTAGCTTGGGTGAGTAAACAGAGGCTTCTTGATGGCCAGTGAACTCATCTCGTGACAGCCAGCCTGCGGCTGCTCCAGGGAAAAGCAGTGGTTAGCCATTCCCAGAGGAGCGGCTCTGTTTTCCTGCTGTTGATGATCTGCTCTCGGTGCCCGTCTAACGTATAAACTTTAATGGCCAGTTTAACTGGTTCCTGCCGTGAGCACTTCGGTGCCAGATTTAGTGCTTTAATTTGGAAACTTTCTCCCTTTGTGGTCATGAGGAGGAAAAGGTCTTGGGCCACTCGGGGCCAGTCATGAGGATTTGTGGGTGCTGAGGAGACAGTACTTCCGGCTGCTGATGACATTGGACAGGGTGACTAGACTGGAGCAAGGATCTGGCCAGGAAATTCTTGGTCATTGTCATCCTTCTCTACACAGCTTTCCTTGCAAAGGAAGACAACCTACGTTATTGAAGAAAATGGAGACTACATCACAACAGTGGAACCTTGTGCTGTCACACCTGGATCGCCCTAGAGCTTATTGTTTTGGCTGTAACTTTTTAAAGTATGTGTATGCTGCATGTGTGTGTGCATGAGAGAGGGAGAGAGATAAAACTTTTGTATCATTATCATCCATTTTCCTGGGTCACCTTTTCTTCTATAGCACAAGCTCCATCCCTTTGCCTGACAACCGAGAGGGAGTGCTGGGTGTCTCCCATGCTTATCTAGGTTATATGAGAACTGTAATTGAGAAGGAGCTTACTTCACTCAAGCCATACATAAAAGCAGGTTGTTCCACAAACAAAAAGATCTGTATGCCTTCATGAGATTCAACTAAGGTGATTCAACTGTACATGTAGTACGGGGAGATGGTACAAGTGGATGCTATGCCAAGTCCAAGGGCTTTTACATGGTTAGAAATAATGTCAGTGAAACAGACCCAGATCTTCCCAGGAACTTCAAATGTCTGTAGAGGCAAACATTCAAATTCTGCCAAGTAGCCTTTTCAATAAAACACAACAGTGGCAACTAATTAGAATTGAATTTACACACTGACACATACTCTGAAGGAGCTGGGGGTGGTGACGGGCTGACAGGGAGCTCTTGTGTGGGCTGGTCCATGAGGTCACAAAGTGTCGGAAGCGACTAAACGAATAAACAACAACAACAACATACATATCATTCTGTAGTTATCATTTGCAAGATGTGTCTTACTGATATACTTTTCAACTATCCCCTTAGGGCTTCTGCAGTTTGTGGGCACAAAACCCTTTTTCCTGTCCTTTTTAAAATCTCTTTCCACAAAGAAGAAATGTGCCAGTGCTTTGTGTTCCAAAGGCCTACTCCTTCAATTAGTATTTAGCTTCTTGTTCACAAGTAGGCTTTCTCAAAATGTGTTTGTTTCTCCATAATATCTTGTATTGTGCATGTATGCATGTGTGCCATATAGGTGGAATGTTAATTTGGAGTCCCTTACATCATGCCATCTTTTTGAGTCTGGCCTTGTCTACTGGTGAGCTCAATTCTCAGAAGAAGCAAGTATGTTCTTAGTTGGTGGGTTAACTCCATTTGTAGATATGAAGAATTATGATGTGCTATTGTCTTGTGTATTTGGGACAGGCTTGTGTATTTGGGACAGGTTTTAGGGGTCTGCATGTATAGAGAGCAAATGCTGTAGACCTTACAATTTCTTATCAAAGTAACACAAGAAGCCAGGGTAGAGGCACAGGTCTAAATTAGGGGTGGAGAAACTGGCCCTTCATATATTGTTGGGCTCCAGTTTTCACGATTGCCCACCACTGCTCAGACAGGAAGGAACTTGTGGGATCTGCAACAACATCTGGAGGGTTTCAGATGCTCAGACATACTGTAAACTGACAATTTCAGTTGAAGGAGGTTAGAAATATGGAGTAAGAAGGCAGCAAACAGGAAAGCAGGTGGGCGGATAAGCAGACTAACAGACAGGGATGGCAGCATTCACAGAATACCTACAATGAAGGGGCCTGCAGGGAAGACTGAATCTGGCTGTTGCCCTAAGACTCAGCTTTTATCCAGGAGCATATTTAGGAAGACTAAACCTGATGGGCATAGTAAGGGTAAAGGTAAAGGCAAAGGTAAAGGTAAAGTATTCCCCTTGACATTAAGTCTAGTCGAGTCTGACTCTGGAGGGTGGTGCTCAACTCCACGTTTAAGCTGAAGAGCAGGCATTGTCCATAGATGCCTCCTACGTTATGTGGCCGGCGTGACTGTATGGAGCGCCATTACCTTCCCATTGGAGTGGTACCTATTGATCTACTCACATTTACATGTTTTCGAACTGCTAGGTTGGCAGAAGCTGGGGCTAACAAAGGGAGCTCATCCCTCTCCCCAGATCTGAACCAGTGACCTTTTGGTCAGCAAGTTCAACAGCTCAGTGGTTTAACTCGCTGCTTCACTGGGAGCAGCAGAAGCATACTATTGTGTAAATCAGCTGGCTTCTAGTTCTGAAACTGATGGATTATTAATTTAGTTTAAAAAATAATCACTTGTACACACAGGAAGGCAATTGACACCTCTATATTCTCTTTTCCTAAATGCCCAAAAGGCACCAGATCATGCCTGACCTTGAAAAAAAACCAAGGTCAACTCTTGGATAGGAGACTTGGATAGGAGACTGCAAATGCATCCCAGGCTATATTGAAGAAGAAAGAACTGACAAAATCATGTCTTTCTTTTCTAAAAGAAAACCTATGAAATTCATGAGACTCCACAAGTGGACAGGCAACTTGCAAGCATATACACACAGAGACTCTCTCTAAAAAGTCACTCCATAACTTTCCAGAACAAGCTGGGAATGGATGTCACTCCCTTTTTTATGCTCTAGGTCTATGCCACAACAGCTGACTATGGCGGGGTAAACTGCCAAGGGGTGGGGGAGATAGTTTGGCAGAAGACTGTGCCACAGTGATTGAAGGAAAACCCATGGTGGGCACCAAGGTCTCTATTTATAGAGCTCCCATCTTGAGAGGCAAAGGAGTGGCCACGCTTTCATACCATGCTCCTTTCAAGTGGTTGGCATGTTCCTTCCACATCAACCATTTGTACAGCTGCTTTCCTTGGAGGAAGGGGAAATGGGATAGGTGTGGCTGGGAGAGAAAATGGTTCTGTCCTGAGGCATTGGTAGAGATGGGGAGAATTAGATGCTGTCTTTCAGTTCTCAGTGAATCACTGCCATAGCCTGAACCTGTGTCCTGTTGTGGTAGACAGCCCCTACATACATGCATTTTGGTAAACTTGTTTGAAAAAGAAAAGGCTGAATTCTCAATGAATGTGGCATGGTGCATCTACCTGTATAGTGATCATGATTGGGAAAGAATATTTGTCAATAAACGCATTAGAAAATAGCATGACATGCCCTGATAAGATATTAACAGGAAAGCACCTTCACTAGAAATGTTCAAAAAGAATCTTAAAACCTGGCTCTTCCGCTGCGTCTTTGGTGAGTAGGTATACAGCATGACACTGTTGTTCCCCTCACGCTTCTGCCACTGGAGTACATGCCCTCCAAATGGGAAGTTTAGTTTCACAACCCTGTGTGTTTTTATGTGCTCCCTGTAAATAACCTGCTCCTATTTTTATCTCATTAGAGTCTTTTAATCATTTTATCCTGTACATATGTTTATTGGAATGTTATTTTGTTATTGTGTTTATACTTTTTTTTCTTTTTCTATGTAATTTTGATGATGTTGTTTGTTGTTTATGTTTTGGTGTTATTTTGCTGTAACATGTTGTCCAGGCTTAGCCCCATGTAAGCTGCTCAGAGTCCCCATTGAGGAGATGGTGGCGGGGTATAAATAAAGATTATTATTATTATTATTATTATTATTATTATTATTATTATTATTAACAATGCAAATGTAGCACCTTAATCTATCCCAATCAACCAAGAGTTTGGGGGAATTACTTCAGGACTACAAATCCCAGAATTCCCTTGCCATTGTGCCTAGTGACCAGTAGCGTTTTCGCTGGGGAATTCTGGAAATTTAAACTCTCAAAGATAAATTCTACAAGCTCTCACCTGAGACTCAGACCCAAATAGCACCGTACTGCAAGCAAGTGCCTTTATACTTATAACGACCTTACAGGTCCTTGGGGAGGAGGGGGCACGATGCTTATCAACTTGCCCCAGGATCAAGTGTTTGAGAGAATTAAACTGTAGAGTTTGTTAAGCATGAAAATATTTTTGAGCTGTATAATCAGACACATCCTATAGTGGAGCTAAAGTTAAGGAACTTTATTTAGAGCGCTGTTTTGTATAAAATGCTTGTGTACGAACACATGGAGCCTACAACATTTTTGTGTCTATTGTTGGCATGTAGGTATGTCCTTGAGCACAGAGTGGCTACATTTCTGGAAAGGAGATGTCTTTAGATCTTTTTTAAAGTCCTTAATGCAATTATAGCTTTGCCTTCAGGTTTGTTCTATTTTTTTTTAAATCAATATCAGTGGCAAGTAAGTATTGCATTCATAAACATTTAGGAGCAGGGATTCCATAGCAGGATGGCATAGCCTGGTGGCTGAAGAATTCCTCTCTGTTTTTTATAGGTAGTGGAGTTGAGTCCCTTTGGGGAGATAGGGTGGTTGGTATACAAATAAAGATGATGATGATGATATTAACCCAACTTTGTCAGAATTTATGCCATAACCTTGGAGTTGTGCTGAATAGGGATATGGGAAACTTATGATACATATATATGTTTCATTTACTAGATATTTGGGTTGTTGTAGGTTTTTTTGGGCTATATGGCCATGGTCTAGAGGCATTCTCTCCTGACATTTCGCCTGCATCTATAGCAAGCATCCTCAGAGGTAGTGAGGTCTGTTGGAACTAGGAAAAAGGCTTTATATATCTGTGGAATGACCAGGGTGAGACAAAGGACTCTTGTCTGCTGGAGCTAGGTGTGAATGTTTCAACTGACCACCTTGATTAACATTCGACAA